GGTTTCGGCTCTGGTCATGATCCCAGAGTCATGGGATTGTGCGCCGAATTGGGATCTGTGCTGGGCATTGGAGTCTACCTGAGAGTCTCCCCCTCTCCCTCTGCCTCTTCCTCTGCTCATGCTCACGTGTGCACGCTCTCTCTCTCCCGAATAAATAAATCTTTTAAAAAAGCTTAAGGGACGCCTGGGTGGCTCAGTCAGTTAAGCATCTGCCTTTGGCTCAGGTCATGATCCCAGGGTCCTGGGATCGAGTCCCGTGACACATCTGGCTTCTTGCTCAGTGGGAATCCTGCTTCTCCCTCTGCCTGCTGCTTCCCCTGCTTGTGCTCTCTCTCTCTCTCTGCCAAATAAATAAATAAAATCTTTAAAAAGAATAAAATATAAGCCCCTGTACATCTGAGCCTTACATAACACTGTATGTTAACTACACTGGAATTAAAATTAAAAAAAAAAAGCCCTTGATAAAAGCCAAAGACTTGTTATTAAAAAGTAATTGGAAGGTGAACTGAGCTAATGTGGTCCACTCTGATATGTCTTAGACTATCTTGCCCACAAATGGTTAGGCCTTAGACTTCAAACCTGACGACCCCCTTAATAAGCTTCCAGTGTAGTCTTCTCTGGATTCTCTCTTATCAGCCAGTAGAAGAGAAGGATCAAGAAGAACCTCGCATGCACTGAGAGAACATGGATCCATCAGAGGGCAGAAACTTGGCTCCCTGAGTGACTCTGGGTGGCGGGGGGTAGCCCTCTGTCTACCTGCAAACCTCAGTGCTGAGAGTAAGAAATAAACTTTTAATTTGTTAGAACTCTAAGTTTTGTTGGGCTTTATATCAGTAGTTATTTTACCCTAATACAGATATGAAATAATGTTCTAACTTCTACATCTGAGTCCGTTTTAAATGCTGGCATCATGATTATCATAATCCATTGTCCATATTCATAATCATTTATTTTCACAGACGTCCTTTCCAGCTTAAATCTCATGATTTGAGGATTACTGTATTGCTGTATTACTGTATTACTGTATTCCATCTGAGAGATGCCTCTTGGAGCCCTTCTTGCTCCAACACCCTGATGTATTTTATAATGTACAAAGCCCTATTTCATGCAGTGTCTCTCTCTGTTCTCCCAGCAAGTCTGAGGAATATTCAAGGGTCTGTTATTGTCCCCATTTTGCAGGTGATGACACTAAGGTTAAGTATAAAGCAAAAAAAAAAAAAAAAAGTGAGACGGCTAATGTACAGAGTTCTTCGAAGATTAAAAAAGAGAATAATTTAGTCTACCTGGCATCCGGTACATGTTAAGACTTTTCTTATTTTCTTCCTAACTCTCTGATAAGTTATGTATTGCTCTGTAACAAACCACCCCAAAAGAATGACTTAAAACAGTAACAATCATTGATGCTGCTCCCAGAGCCTGGGCTGTGAAAACGCGAGTAGCTGGGGGTGGGG